AAAAGAAAAATATTTTATTTTACCAAAAACATTTAGATTGATATCATTATCAATTATTTTAATTTCTAGGTCTACATTATATGCCTATACATCCGATATTCAAGTATTCTCAATTTATAATTCTATCGGATAAATAGTTTTAATAGATTATATATCACAGGATTATATATATATTACTTGAATTGCCCCTCAGTGACACAGTGGTATTTTGGCGAACTTACAACGCTAGAATCCAAGCACAAAGCAACACAATGGGCTGTCTGTGCTTTACCCACACGGTATAGAAACCCATACCGGAAGATAGTTTTCTTTGTTTGAAGGCAATGAAAGGATAACAGAACTGTTCTATTAATGATTAGACAACCATCCATTTTATTAAATATAATACTTAACATTTTATTTCATAAAATTAAAAAGTGTAAATAATAATAATAAAGATAATTAAGCCATTTTAAAATACCTAAATAAATTTGAACAAGAGAAAGATATTTAATTTTACCACACAGTATACCATATTTCCATTGAAAGATTTAATTTATATTATAAATTTATATTACACCTTAATTTCCTAGATGGTTTTTGTAATGAAAGTTTTATGTACTTAAAATAAGTTTTCAATTATCTTGTAAAAATTAAAAAAATACCGTACAGATTTATCGTTTCGTCGTTTAAGAAATAAGATTCAAGATTTACAAGAAAAATATACTATAGTTCCCATTGATAATGCTAATTGTAATTTTGCTTTATTTGTAAAACGTTTTATGCACTAATTACGATAAATGAAATCAATGATACACAAACATTTAAACTTATTAACCAATCAAAAGATACGTTAGTTAATAATTTCATTAAAGCTTATAGAGAACTTAAATAGATTTACCTTTTCTCTATGATATTATTAAACTATACAAATATTTGATTAACTTTAGATTTATTTCTAGTCCAATAAAAACAATTTTTTGAATCTTGACTGTATTCATCAATATTATTTTCAATAGCTTAAAGAATATTTTACTTATTACATTGTGTGTCAATTGTGTATTTAGATCTTTTTTGAGTATTTCACATAATAGTTTGTTTTTATAATTTACAAGTTATCAGTAATAATATGTTTATGAAAAGTATAAAAAATAAACTATTTTCACATTCACAAAGTAGATTATTAACATCATCTACATTTAAATTAGTTTAAAAAATTCTTATAACTGTATAATAGTGGACTGATTGGAATTTCATATATACTTTTGCCTTGCAGTCACGAAACTTTCAAATTGGACTTTATGTTTAGAATCCATGCAATATACTCCAAACTAAGAAAGTTACAAAACGCTGATATTAGGTGAGTATGTTAGATTTTCATAGAAAATGAGAATATTCTCAATTGTATAAGTATTCAACCCTTTACTACTATTTCAGGTGCAAAAGATAAGTTAAAGGTCACAAAATCAAAAGTGAAATGCTCTTCAAACAACCGAGTAACTAACCGGATCAGGACACCCTTCCAAACTAAGCCACCAGTAAATGACCAAAAACCTAACTTTATAAGCAACTTAGTTCTTTCTACCCCAGAATAATCTCCGTATTGTCTTTAAGTGGTCAAACGTATCAGTAACCGTTTTAGAACTAAAGACATTTTACATTCAAATGTGGTAGCTATAAATCCACCTACTTTAGTAAAACTTCTTGCAACTAACAAATACGCACCTTGGATCACACGGGAGTGTCTAACAGAACTGGACAGAAACTGCAATTAACTCTTTTATGTATTTCACAACGGAATGTCATCGCATATCGTTTTGTCAGAAAACGTTTAAATTCTAATTTATGGATGAAATTATCACAAACTGTTAATAAAATAAAGTTATATTATTAAATTTTTAGTAATTTTTAAGGCAAATTTTTTTAGTACTATACTGTTGTACACAGCTACTTTGTGAATGTGAAAATAGTTTATTTTTTATACTTTTCATAAACATATTATTACTGGTAACTTGGAAATTATAAAAACAAACTATTATGTGAAATACTCAAAAAGATCTAAATACACAATTGACACAAAATGTAATAAGTAAAATATTCTATAATATATTGAAAATAATATTGATGAATACATTTTGAATCTTGACTACATTACACCTTATCGTCCTGGATGGTTTTTTGTAATGGAAGTTTTATGTACTTAAAATAAGTTTTAAATTATCTTGTAAAAAAAA